TCTTGCTTTTCTGAGAATGGGTTGATCCAGGCTTGAATGAGGCCGACGACTGTTGAAACTGTTTTCTCATCATTTTGGATTCTGGGCTGCTGTAGATCAGCATGGTTGAGTTCCGATTGGTTCCCATGTACCATGTTTCTTAAGTGTCTAAGAAATGCGCTGCGGTACTGCTGTTATGTAGTAGCTTCTGATGGCTCCTGCTTTTAGGCTGAACCGTGTCGTGCCTCCAGGAGTCTGAGTGTCTTTCTTCACTGTAACCTCAGTTGTCTGATCTATAGGTATCCACCCAAAGGGATTATTGCTGGACATCTGCACCGAAAAATGACCTTCCTGAAAGGCTCTGTGTACATCAGGATTAGTCTCTGGAAGATTTGTTATCTGAGCAAAGTATGCAGACAGGTACCTGGCATAGTTGACCTTATCGTAGGCAAAACACCATGGGATCATGGTTCGAATGGCATTGATGTGCAAATCCCAGTTTCCCTCACGAGATGCACGCAGAAGGCCAAGTATCACATGCTCTACTATGTCTATGTATGAAATCCAGTATCCCGATAGGCTATAGCTCCCCATTGTTGTGGCGGAGGTTTTCCAAGAAGTCTCTCCCCAGGATCATCAACTCTAACAATTCTGGACTGTAGAGGAGATTACTGAAGTTCTGTTGGTTGAGTTCATCAGCTATGCTGTTCACCTTGTCAACGCATGTTTTGATCACAGCGCTCTTCTCCTCATTGCTGTCTACCCATAGTTTGAACTCTGCCCATGCCAGTCTCATTAAAGCTTCATAGATGCACTTGTGGACCCCGATAGTACGATTGTACTGTTTACCATCAATGCCCCTATTTATGGACCCCTCCGCGACTATCCCAACTTCTATGCATATGTCCTTTAAACCACCATCACAGAATCGCTTTCCTATAATACTCAGGGCATTCATGATAGTGTGGAATGTTCCCATCCTCAAGAGCACATTGAAAAAACGCTCTTGTGCTTCCAGGCAATTTCAACGGCTTTTGCATAGAGTGCTTGATCCATGACTACCACAAGTGTGTCCAGACACAGTTCCTTTCTGATTAGATCTGACTGTTTAAGAATTTCAAAAACTGTAGTTAACTCTGTAGCTGGTGCATTGACTGTGGGCAGATATCCAACAACATCTTCTGAGATTGATTCTTGGTTCCTGGTTTTGATATTAAACCCAGTCCAACTTGGGATTGTCTGACTCTCTGATGTTGTTTGTCTTGCTATGATCCATACCAGGTTCTTGTTACAGGCGACTTGAGCAGACTCTTGTGCTTCCTGGATGTGGTTCTCACTGGTTGGTAGAGGCTGTGGACCTACACGTGCACTAGCTACATAGACTTCCAGATCTTCGTGTTCAATGTTGACTGATCTTTGTTTCAGTTTATCAATGCTAGGAAGTTCTGTCGTAGGTGGATGAGGTCCATAGACCTTAGGCTGGACCGCTATTCCGTTGACTCAATGTGATGTACCCTTTCCAGTAAGTGTCTCCTCCAGTCTGTCTATATTGTCCCATGCAAGATTTGTGAAGGCATAGGGTTTGATGGAGACTGGTAGAACAGCTCTCTGGTTGAAGCCCATTGCTAACTTCTGGAGACAGAGAGCAGTATCATTCTCTTCTAGCTGGTCATAAGACACTCCATGTCCAAACTTGTTCAGTGTCCGAATGACCTCAATGTTTCCAGTGAGTGCTTTCACCGCATAAGGAAGCAGGAAATGTTTTGGTGGTTTATACTGCCCACGTGTCACAGCATATATCATGTCCTGGCTAAATGACTCAACTAGAATAGCAGTTCTGTGGGATGTATTCGTAGTACTAGAATCTCCAGTGAGGAGCCCGACAAGAAATCGCTCTAGTTGATTTGGTATGGCGATATGAGTAGCTACATCAGACGGATGGTATGGCAATGGTGTGAATATCATGTCTTGTTTGGTGGCCGTTCGGATATGCGATGAAGTCTGATCTATGATCTTGTTGACATCTGTAGACTTGGCCTTCCATAGCTTGAGCTCCCTGTGTAGAGTTTGATTTTCCAAGACAACATATCCTTTAATGATACACAATAGGGAACCAACAACAACTTTCCCTTATCATCGGGAAATATTTCCATGAAACCTCCAAGCTCGGATTGCAGTCTTCTGTGGATATTCTTCTTTGTTGAATCCTTCAAAAGTTTAACTCCACCAGATAACTATATTTAGGTGAATAAAGAATCTTTGACTAGTTGAAATAATAGACATAAATTACTGTCATAACTGCTATACNAAACAGGACATGATATCCACACCATGGCCATACCATCCGTCTGATTAGATCTGACTGTTTAAGAATTTCAAAAACTGTAGTCAACTCTGTAGCTGGTGCATTGACTGTGGGCAGGTATCCAACAACATCTTCTGAGATTGATTCTTGGTCCCTGGTTTTGATATTAAACCCAGTCCAACTTGGGATTGTCTGACTCTCTGATGTTGTTTGTCTTGCTAGGATCCATACCAGATTCTTGTTACAGGTGACTTTAGCAGACTCTTGTGCTTCCTGGATGTGGTTCTCACTGGTTGGTAGATGCTGTGGACCTACACGTGCACTAGCTACATAGACTTCCAGATCTTCGTGTTCAATGTTGACTGATCTTTGTTTCAGTTTATCAATGCTAGAAAGTTCTGACGTAGGTGGATGAGGTCCATAGACCTTAGGCTGGACCGCTATTCCGTTGACTCAATGTGATGTACCCTTTCCAGTAAGTGTCTCCTCCAGTCTGTCTATATTGTCCCATGCAAGATTTGTGAAGGCATAGGGTTTGATGGAGACTGGTAGAACAGCTCTCTGGTTAAAGCCCATTGCTAACTTCTGGAGACAGAGAGCAGTATCATTCTCTTCTAGCTGGTCATTAGAGACTCCATGTCCAAACTTGTTCTGTGTCCGAATGACCTCAATGTTTCCAGTGAGTGCTTTCACCGCATAAGGAAGCAGGAAATGTTTTGGTGGTTTATACTGCCCACGTGTCACAGCATATATCATGTCCTGGCTAAATGACTCAACTAGAATAGCAGTTCTGTGGGATGTATTCGTAGTACTAGAATCTCCATTGAGGAGCCCGACAAGAAATCGCTCTAGTTGATTTGGTATGGCGATATGAGTAGCTACATCAGACGGATGGTATGGCCATGGTGTGGATATCATGTCCTGTTTGGTGGCCGTTCGGATATGTGATGAAGTCTGATCTATGATCTTGTTGACATCTGTAGACTTGGCCTTCCAAAGCTTGAGCTCCCTGTGTAGAGTTTGATTTTCCAAGACAACATCCTTTAATGATACACAGTAGGGAACCAACAACAACTTTCCCTTGTCATCGGGAAATATTTCCATGGAACCTCCAAGCTCGGATTGCAGTCTTCTGTGGATATTCTTCTTTGTTGAATCCTTCAAAAGTTTAACTCCACCAGATAACTATATTTAGGTGAATAAAGAATCTTTGACTAGTTGAAATAATAGACACAAATTACTGTCCTAACTGCTATACGAGCTTACAGCAATTTTGGTGGCCATCTTGCATTTTGGCGGCCATCTTGGATTTATTTTCATCAAATGTGTGTTCAATGTTTTAGGTAAAGACAATAATAAAATCTACGACTCAGAATACCTGGTCATGGACACCAAAGTCACTGTCCTAGCTGCTCTAGAACATGATATATAGCTAAATAAGCATTTTGGCGGCCATTTTGGAAAAGGGGAGATAACTCACATAAAGCTGCCACCCCCACAATGCTATCACATATTTTCTAACTCTAGGGGTTCAGACCTTCCCAAAAATCACTATTAGCATTCTCCCCCCGATTTGATACCGACCAACCCCCCTGGCTGATGGACTAATACACAAACTCGCTTTGCACTGCCAAGAACTGAATGCAGTGCCTATAGCAAATCAAAGCATATAGCAAGAAACTGATGGTTGGAAAGCTGGCTGAATAACGGCAATATGGCTGCCGTGCACACCGTTAGCAATTCAGCAAACATCACGCAACGACAGTGTGCAGTATACAGATGGGGTTAGACATAGATAGGAAATTAGCCAAATTGTGCCGAGCGCGTTCACAGTTCGTCGTGCATGTTCCTCTTTGACCACCACTTGTCCAGCTGAGCTACAGCATCCCAGCTAACAACATGCCACCAATCGTCGATGTAGGCAGCTCGGTGCTTCAGGTAGTACGCATGCTCCCATAGATCGATGCCCAGAATTGGGTGAAGTCCCTCAGAGAGAGGGAAGTCCTGGTTGGCGGTAGTCGCTATCATTAAGTGAGAGCCGTGTCCGATGTTAAAATCACGGCAGAGCCACACATATCCTACATAGTGAGACAAGTGTAAGTTATGCATGTGCGTAATGTTTCATGCTTTCACCGATCGCCTCGATTAATGGGTATATCTCAACAGAGCTGTAATTACTTCTTAGGGTTTTGTGAACAGTGTAATGCAGCCTTGAAAACACTGAAAAAACATCTCCAGCACACATTTAGTGGAGCGACCGGGGCCCAAAAAGGGCCTTATTTAAGGAGTTACCCCTCTCCACTTTAGAACAAGGCAAATGAGGTATCGTTGGATTTGTTAGGATGTCTGCTTTATGAAAAACTATGTTTTACAGTCCGATTCTAATTAAAACATGGCAAATTAACCCCTTTTTTGCAAACACCCATAAAAAATGTTAATTTTGGAATATCAGAATAATTGTTATTTTGGCACCTTAAAAGACTGAAAACATGTTAATATTACATTAATTCCTTTCTGCTAATAACAATTAATATCTTTTGGTTTTAACCCACTTCAATGGGGTTTTGGGCCCCTTAATACCCCAAAATCGGGGGTTTTACCTCTTTTTGCCATTTTCCAATCCTAAGTTTTGATGAAGTACCCCTCCCCCATATTATAACAAAACAAATCTGATCTCATTTGATTCGTAAGGATGTCAGCTGTATGAATATTGATGTTTGATTTGCATATTTTAATGCTAACATGGCTGATTAACCCCCTATTTGCAAAAAAAAACACATAAAATCTGTAATATCTCATTTTGTTGTACTTTCTCACTTACTTTACAGTTGGAAAACAAGTAAATGTCACATTGTTTTCTTCCTGTCAAGGACACTGACACATTAATTAGGGATTAACCCTCTTTAGTTGGCTCCAAATAACCCCTTGAGAATATTGTTAGTGTTTGAACATACTGCCTTTTACACCGTCATGTCCGTATGACCTCAGACTTCATCTGTATTTTCAACCTCCCTTATCTCCCGCTGATTCTCACATTATCCACCACATGTACAAATGTCAATGCACTCAAGTCTAGCAATGACACACTGGCATTTCTGCCCACGACAATCTTTGTCTGTGCATTACAAATGAGTTATGTCTCTAACCTCAGCTGGTGCCGATTCATTCTGGTACAATGTTGGCCAGAGTTCACCTTTTGCATTTACATGCCAACCATGGCCAACTGGGTTCATGTTCACAGGTTTTGCGACGTGACTCTGACACCACACTGCAACTTGGTATTGGACACGCAATACATGTTGTGCGAAGGCATCCTCTGTCGGTGGCAGTATTGATGCAGGCTTGTCAGTGGTTGTGGCGAGTACGAAACGAAGCTCATTGAGTGAACTGAGATTTTTTTTACCATGCATGAGGAGAACAAATCGCCTTGCAGTATCTAAGAAAGTAGGGACATCCTGGAATGATTCCAGACTCTGTAAGGCCTCTGCAATTTTGGTGAGAGCTGAATAAGCCGTTCGCTTTCCAAGTCTGTATAGAGCACTTGTCGTGTCACATCCCGACAGAGCATGCGCAGCCAGTAAGGACGTGCATGCTGCTTTGCCAAGTTTGGTACTGATGTGGTGTACAGGTATGAATCGTTCCTTTGTGACAAACTTCCCTGAGTGTCCAGCATGCATATCCACTTTATCGGCCAGCGCTCCCCTGCTCCAGTAATATATCAGCAACACCAGAACATGTGTTGTCACAGCGAATGATTATCCGTGGATGGTCTCTCAACAACGTTATTGCGTGTAATACGAGGCGAGTATCCGCTTCCTCTTGTGTGCTGTACAACCCCTCAAGACTGGACACACCCACTTCATTCAGAACTTTGACGACTGCTCCATCTTCAAATCCACCTGCCAGTACTACCGATTTCTCTGCAGGCAGGATATCTTGTCCATTGTCGCAGATATACTGACAGATGAATGAAGCGAGACTAGCCTTGTTGGCATTGGACTTGAGGAAGTTCTGGTAATTCGGAACATCCCTGTTACCTTGGATCTGGTAGTTGAGTCCGGAATTCATCATTCCTCACCTGTGTTGCTCAGTTGATTTTATTGAATGTTCCCTATCGTACCGGTCAAATACCAATGTCACAACGTCAATGGATGGATCCATGGCACTGTTCTTCAGAAGACGCACGGTTCGTTTCAGAACCACCTTTCCAAGTTCGTTGAACGTCTTGAAATGATTCTCATTTAGGGCCTGACACATTGCCATGCCATCAATGAGGTATGCAGCAGACTGTGATGATGTCGTGGTATTCTGATGAGGTAGGACAATAATTTCATCCGTGTTTGCTTCAAGCTTTTTGGCAAGATCTGATTTGTTGGTTTTCCTCATGGAACCATCGTCATTGAACATTGAAGGGGTAACAGCCCCAGTTATTTGGAGCCAACTGAAGAGGGTTAATCCCTAATTAATGTGTCAGTGTCCTTGACAGGAAGAAAACAATGTGACATTTACTTGTTTTCGACCTTGTAAGTGATAAAGTAACAACAAAATGAGATATCGGGAAATTCCTGATTTTATGTTTTTTTTTGCAAGTAGGGAATTTTTTGCATAGGGAATCAGCTATGTTAGCATTAAAATATGCAAATCAAACATCAATATTCATACAGATACGAATCAAATGAGACCAGATTTGTTTTGTTATAATATGGGGGAAGGGTACTGCATCAAAACTTAGGATTGGAAAATGGCAAAAGGGGTAAAACGGTATGCTCAGGTATTAAGGGGCCCAAAACCCAATTGAAGTGGGTTAAAACCCGAAATAATGTGAGAGTGTCCTTAGCAAAAAGGAATTAATGTGATATTAACATGTTTTCAGACTTTTAAGGTGCCAAAATAACAATTATTCTGATATTCCAAAATTCCCATTTTTTATGGGTTTTTGCAAAAAAAGGGTTAATTGGCCATGTTTTAATTAGAATCTGACTGTAAAACATTGTTTTTCATAAAGCAGACATCCTAACAAATCAAACGATACCTCATTTGCCTTTTTCTAAAGTGGGGAGGGGTCGAGCTAAATTTGGCTCTCAGTCGCTCCACTAATTGCTTTGATAACGACAAAGTTTCCATCTAGTAATGCGGGCGTTAGTCCAACTTGAGACATGATGAAGTATTTACGAAACATTGTTTTATGTTAATGTTATGTGTAGGATAGGACTGTGTGATATCGTGTTAAAATTACTTGTGTTGGCTAAAATAACAGAAACATATTACACTTCATGCTGTAACATCATAATTGTTTATAGGTGTTCCTCTAGCATCCTAAGCATATATAACCACGAACATATCTATTCAAAGTATACATATCTAACATAAACATATATACAGATATACATACATATATACTCTATGTTAGTACAGGTACACCACCGATTTTCTGGACACTGATGGCCCGGAACCACTTTTAGTCCGGATAAAATTCACCGGGTGGCCACCACCTTTCACAAAATATAAGTGATTCTGTTCACTTTTTATGGTTAAATTGCTACATTATACTTCCTATTTTGCTATTCTGTTTGATGTAAACAAACATTTGTGACTCATACATAGGCCATAGCAAGCATTTAATGTCGTGATCAATATATCAAATCTTATCAGGTAAGAATTTGAGGATACATTTAGTACCGTTAGTACTTACTTTTCATGTAAAAAAATTGCAACAAAAATTTTAAATTTTACAAAATAATATACACCATAGAAAATTTGCGACGTAGTCAATTCAAAGGGATTACATGACTCTAGGTTAAAATTACACTACATAAAAATTTCATTGTTCAATATTGATTAGAAATATTTTTTTCTGTTTTAAAAGTAACAGCTGTATCGTTTCTTACATGCTGGTGTAACTGATAATAATAATTATCTTATTACACCAGATAATAACCACTCATCTGGTTATTAACTCCAGATTTCTGTTTACATCAACCCCTGATAGTTAACTAGGTAGTTTTCCAAAAATTTCAACTAGTATTATCAGGAGTGTATAATATACAAGAGTATGACTCGCTCGAAACACACGAAATTCAACATTTCCATGCCCTAGCTTACCTATGATTTATTACGTGAAGCCCCATAATAATAATATCACAGGTAGCGTTGTACATCCAACTTGCCCTCACACTTCACCTTGTATCGATACCCCTTCTTATTACGTAGTTATAACTTCGAACGTCAGACATGGTTTTAGTCATTCACCTAGTCGAGTGGCCATCGTATCCGCCTGATCAAAGTAAACAATTGGCAGCTCACAGTGATAACGCTGTTGACGGGGTTTGGCAGAGATTTGCAACTCGCAAATTAGTAGCGGGCTCTGCATGGCCGCTGGCTCTGACCCGCGCCACGGCTGCGAGTGCAGATATCATATGACATAGTTATGCTGATAGGGTCTATGTCCCCCAGGGTACTGCCGGAACGTACCCTGGTACTAAATAGTACTATCTAATATGTCGGACCGTACCTCGCCTACTCCACTAACGAGTCTAGGGAGTCGCCTACGCCTACTCCCTAACCCTAACCCTAATCCTAACCCTAACCCTAACCCTAACTCTAACCCTAACCCTAACCCTAACCCTAACCCGAACCCGAACCATATCAGCTAGATAGTTACCAGGGTACGTTCCGGTATACCGGACCGTACCCAGGGTACGTTCCGGCAGTACCCTGGTGGACATAGACCCTATGAGCCATAGTTATATAAAATAATCCCTCATAAGAAGTTTTCGTTTGGCGACATTTTGGAAGTTTTTACGATGTACTCTTGCTACTAATTTGCGAGCTGCGAGTCCCTACGGAATTACCCCGTCAACAGCGTTATCACCGCGAGCTGCCAATTGTTTACTTGCATCGGGCGGAAATGATGGCCACTTAACTAAAACCATGTCTGATGTTCAAAGCTATAGCTACAATTATAGTCTATATAATCAGAAGAGATATTGATACAAGGTAATGTGTGAGGGCAAGTTGGATCTACAATGCTTGTGATGTCTTTATTATTGTGTTTCAGGTGATAAATCATAAGTAAACT